GAACCAATAATACCCCCTCCTTATGCTCGATAGATGTTGTGAACTTCAAATAGGAACCCTAGACATTACAGTCAGTAAGTCAAATATTACTAGGATTGGGAAGAACCAAAAATGGTGAAATTGTAAGGGACATGATTGCATTGCCTCAGCTTCTTCTTTTTTTTTCTTTTCTCATCCCTTTAATCATCTGTTCCACTTTCTCTAGCCAGTGGGCTGTTTTCATTGATTCCACAAAGATTTATATCCTTTATCTGGAAGCTGTATGGAAGATGAGAATGGGGAGAGGTCACCCCTCTACCCTAACATTACATTCATTCTGATTGGAGAGACCCAGAGAAAAGGAAACAATTTAAGATAAAATAGAAATTGCTATAAGGGAGCTATCAAACAGACTGACTCCTTCGATAGGAAGGGCTCCCAGTTGATTTGCAGTTTTTGATCAACATTTGCTTGGTGAAATGAAGTGGTCATTCCTGTTGAGGGAAACAAGATTAAAAAAAAAAAAAAGGCAGGGAGATGTAACTGTGTAAATGCAGAGGGGGACAATTAACCCGAGTAACCTTTGAGTATTGTATTTGACTGTATACTCTCAGGCTACAGACGGAAAGAACCTTAAACAAATACTGAACTGTAGTTAGTAGGTTTGTTTACACAGAGATATGGGTTAGCAAACCCAAAAACGAACTACAGTTAGGGTTGAGCAATTGTGTAAAATATTTTGTGGAAAAGAGAGCTGGAGTTCTCAGTGTCAGAGAAGGGAGTTATACACATGAAAAAGGAAGACTGGAATAAACTCTGCGGTTTGGATTGGAATTGGAGGTATCAGCATGATATATTTTAACATATATAGATACACCTAGACATAGATGGATGATAGATGTGTGCGTGTGCACCCAATGAGAGGACCTGTAGTAATGAGCATACCAGATGATCAGATATTAGCTTCTAAATATTATTTTCCAATAAAAGAAAGCAGGGCCTTTCAGGAAACGGTTGATCGGGCAGGACAGGGACAGGAAAAACATAAGTTGAACCTAGAACATATTGTGCCAGAAAGCAAGAAAGGACTCAGAGAATAATGGGGATGGGTCCAAAAGATGCAGGATCAGGAGCAGGATTAAAGTGGCTCCCATTGACCACACTTTGGACAATCTGAGAGTCAAAATCAGTAATGTAACCCATAGAGTAAAATGAGAATTTGTGAATCCATCCTAATTGTGGTAGACAGAATAATGATCCTCAAAGATGTCTGCATTCTAATTCCCAGAACCTGTGATTATGTTACCTTAATATGTTACATATCAAAAGAGACTTTGCCCATGGGATTAAGTTAAACAATTTGAGCTGGGGGGATTCTTCTGGATTATCCTGGTGGACCCAATGTAACCACAAGGGTCCTTATAAATCCAAGAGAGAAGTAGAGGGGTCAGGGAAGGAGGTGTAATAATGGAAGCAGAGTTGGGAGTGGTGTGATTGCTGGAAAGGTCTCACGTGCCAAAGAATGTGGACAAACTCTGGGAGCTGGAAAAGTCAGGAGTGGAAGCTCCCCTAGAACCTTTAGAAGGAATGCAGACCTGGAGGTCCTGGGTGGTGCAGTTGGTTGAGCTTCTGACTCTTGGTTTCAGCTCAGGACATGATCTCAGGGTTGTGCATCAGGGCCCACTCTCAGTACGGAGTCTGCATGGGGCTCACTCTCTCTCTCTCCACCCCCCTCAAATAAATAAACAAATCTTAAAAAAAAAAGAAAAGGAATGCAGGCCTGCTGACACCTTAACTTTATCCCTATAAGCCCTATTTTGAACTTGGCCCCCAGAGCTTTAGGAAAATAAGCATGTAAAGTTTTTTTTTTTTAAGATTTTATTTATTTATTTGACAGAGAGAGAAACAGTGAGAGAGGGAACACAAGCAGAAGGAGTGGGAGAGGGAGAAGCAGGCTTCCCGTGGAGCAGGGAGCCCAACGTGGGGCTCGATCCCAGGTCCCTGGGATCATGACCTGAGCCGAAGGCAGATGCTTAACGACTGAGCCACCCAGGCGCCCCAGGCATGTAAAGTTTTAAGTCACTAAGTTTGTGGTCATTTGTTATAGCAGCAATAGGGAACTAATACACTCTATACACACAGACACACCCTATCCACATGCATACAAGTATACATGCATAAATGATGGAGAAGACAAAGCTCTTCTCTATAGGAGAACTCCAGCTAATAAGCGAAGAGAGAATGATCCAATTTGAAAATTACCATTTGGCAACCACTTCAGTAATAATTTTTTCAGGCAAGAGGTATCAATGAAAGCTAAATTTAATGAACTGAATTTGCATGAGGAAAAGGATACCTACTTAGTCTCCGAGTACCTCTCCACAGGGCACTTACACAATTCAAAAGAAAAATAATGCCTTACAGTGGTACTGTTACAGCCTCATCAGTGGTACTGATGGACAGCACCACTGAAGGGACTCAAATGAATATCACCCGCATGGGGACAAAGCCATCCCGCATGCCTTCTGTTACAGTGCACTGAGAACATGGCATTGCGGTGGTGTGATTTTACCAAAAACGCAGAGCTTGAACCAAATCATAAGGAAACATTAGACAAACCTAAATTGAGGGACTATCTTAGAAAGAACGGTCCTGTACTCTTCAAAAATGTGAGGGTCACAAAAGGCAAAGATTGAGGAGCCAGTTCAGGGCAAAGGGGGATAAGACAAGATGGCTGAATGCCAGATGGGCCCCCAGATTGGATTCTGGATCAGTACTTTTTTTTTTCTTTTGCTACCAAGAATTCTAGGGGGACAATTCTAGTGGTAAAATTTGAATAACATTTGTCAATTAGATAACCCCATTAATGTTCATTTGCTGGTTTTGAGAACCATGCCATGGTTCTATAAAAGGATGTCCTTACTTTTATGAAGTACACACAGAAGTGTTTAGCTGTAGAGGGGCCACATGTCTGCAGATCATTCTAAAATGCTTCAGAACAGGCATACGTATAAAAAGGTACAGAGAAGATGATCAAATCAATGTGGTAAAAATTTAAAATGTTGGGGATCCGAATGAAGTATATACATCAATTAATTGTACAACTTCTGTAACTTTTCTGTAAGTCTGAAATTATTTCAAAAGGAAGAGGTTTCTCAGCAGGTGTAGTGGGTTGAGTAACACCTGTATGGAGCAAGGAACAGAAGCTAGAGACATTAACTGTGGGTGAGTGACGTGAGGGCAGCTAGCAGAGAGGCCTGCATAGGACACGGGCCGTCTCTTGTCACTACGGGACCCTGAGTGCCAAACACAAAGTAAGGAAATATTCGTTGAATACAGGGAAGAAGGGAGGGGGGAGGAATGGGGACCTTTACTTTGGGCTGAATATGAGCAGAATGTGGCCACCTCCATCACAGGCTTATCTCTTGAGCACCACTTGCATGGACAGTCCAGCTCTCCTCCTGAATATTTGCTCCCACCAAACTTGTGACACTGGAGGGTCACCTCTTGGAACTGGTGAGGGGCTGATACTGTCTACTCAGAGAAAATTCTGACCACCTGGCAATGACAGATATCAGTGTGGCTGATTGAATTTATAACCCAAAGTGTCAAAAGAAAAAGCTTGTCGAGGGAACATTGAGGAGTGGGGTCCAGAGGCTTCACACTGTAAAGTCAAAAGGTCACTGAAGAACTAAAGGAGAAAAAAATAAGGAGACTAGACTTGCTTACTCAGAAAACTGAAATAGAACTGCTTAATTCCAAGTCAAATATTCATCAATTCAGTTATTGATTGATTGAGGGATGACAACTCAGCACTTCAACAATACTTCACTGAGCGCCCACACTGGGAGGGGTGGGTAGAGGAAGGAACGTACATTTATTGAGGACCTACTATGTGCCAGGGCATGAGCGGGTGGATACACATATAACTGTGTCATTTAACCCTTCCAGCCACCTCTTTCTCCTCCTCTTCTCTCCTCCAGCAATCCTTGAATTCATTGAACACTTACTATGTGCCAGGCTCTTGGCTAAAATCTTCACATTCTTTCTATTGTTTGATTCTGCCCATCCTAGCTCTGTGAGTAACATAAAAGTAGGATTCCCTTTTGGCAGAGACATTAAATAACTTGCCTGGCATTGCAAAACTTGTAAGAAGCAAAGATTTTCTCTGGGATCCACAGGAATTTTAGTTCTGGGACTTTTCCAAGAATGGATGGAAGTACAACGTCCAGGACGTTAACCCAAGAGAGGCTACATGCTGAAAACTGATAGCCATTGAAGGTCACCTGATTGCTTTTTTCACCCCAAGAGGGTAGGTTCCCAGAGGGCCCGAATCACACAGAACTGCACGAAGGACTTACATCATTGGTGAACTTTGCTGCTCTCTCTTTGGTCTTTTTATGGCATCTTTTGAAAGGAATGACTGTTCGGGTCCCCATCTACACACAAGATCACCCCCTGTCTGTCCACGCCAGGTGCTGGAAAAGCAACGGTAATGTTCGGACATCTTTTTCAACTCAAGTAAATTCAACACAACAATATCAACTACCTGCTATGTACCAAGGTCTGTGCTGGGTTCTGGGGACCCAAAGATGAATGAAACTGCCTTCTGGATTTTCCCAAGTTGAACAGAGAAGATAGATGTGAATATACATCACAGTGTAAAAGAGTCAATAACAGAAACATGCACAAAGCGTTAATTAGAAACAAATTGTTTTAACTAAGGGCTTTTTAACAACAAAAAGATTAACTGAGAAAAATCTTTTTGTGATAGAATGAATAAGGAAAATGTATTAACAGGTAATGTAAGCAAAAAAAAAAGTGCCCAGCACACAGCCCTTAAAGTAGAAATACACCTATAATGTAGCCCTGGTGTTAATTACAGATGCCACGCTTATTGCATCAGTGGGGAAACCTTTACTCGAGATAATGTCTGATTCTTGTCCGAATCATCTTCCTCCTTCTCTTTATTCCCTTGTTTCTTTGTCTCCCATTGATTGAACTCTGAGGCTATTCTGTGTTAGACCTGTTCGTTTTTTATTTTTATTCTTTACAGAACCGACCTCCGTGTAGCTGAGAACTCTCCTTCTCTATGTCTGCAATTATTCAGTGTTTGAAGTATAGATTCTTTCTATTCAATGATTCCCATTGGCCAGGTGGTTTGACTCCATTTTAATTTTTTTTTCTTTAGAGTTCATGGTCTCGTAGGGCAGCTGCTGAAAAAGACCACCGAGAAAAGCACATGTCTTGTTATTCTAATACATTTCTTTTTGGCAAGGTGTTTCAATAAGATCTGCAGAGACCACCTGGGCCTTGGTGACCCCAGGAGGGGCAAATTTAAATCTCATTTAGTATATAACAATATGGAAACTAGATGCTGCCTCATAGGAAGGAGAGGGGTTATATGGATATGTAGGTGGTAATTATTGATCCCTTATAATATGGCAAGTACTGTGTACTTCCCCATGTTATAATGTTAATCCTCACAGCCATATTATGAGGTTTTGTTTGATTATCTTTAAGATGAGGAAACCAAAGCTTGGAGAAATAAATAGGCTCCAAGCCACAGTTCAAAGGCTAGTCAGTGGTAATTTGGATGAGAATCCAGATATATTGGACTAAAACCCCAAGATCGTTCTACTACAACAGTAGTTATCAGAGATTCCAGGTGATTCTTTGGTTCAGCACCAAACCATCTTAGAGCTGCTTCCTTACAGAGAAGCACAGATAATTATGCCAAATGAAACAAGGTCAACCAGTGTGACTCAGTAATTACCATGTGTGAGGCTCTATATCTGGCCTGGAGGTTGTGATATTGTGATTTATAGTAAGAAAAATATAATAAGAAATATATAAGTATAAATGGGTCTTGGTCCCATTTCTGGCATAGAGCTCCTAAAACCCTTGGAATTTCCTAAGCGATGAAAACAATAAAGGTGTCTATTGTTACATTAAGGAGGACACCAGTGGGGTCTGGTTGCCAATGGAACCAGCCATGTGATGAGAGGGTTGGAACTTTTGGTCCCACCCCTTGACCTCCAGGGAGGAGAGAGGGGCTGGAGGTTGAGTCATTCACCAATGACCAATGGTTTAATCAATTATGTCTATGTGACGAAGCCTTCATTAACACCCAAACGGATGGGGGTCTGAGAGATTGTGGGTTGGTGACCACATGGAGGTTTGAGGAGAGTGCAGCCCCTGGGGAGGGTATGGAAGCTCTGCACCCTTTCTCCATACCTTGCTCCATGCATCTCTCCCATTTGGCTGTTCCTAGATTATATCTTTGTATAATAAAGTGATAATCTAGTGAATAAAAGCGGTTTTCTGAGTTCTATAAGCTGCTCTCACAAATGTATCAAACCCAGGGAGGGGGTTGTTGGAACCTCTGATTTACAGCCAGTGGGGCAGAAGTACAGGTAACAGCCCGGGCTTGCGTTTGTCATCTGAAGGGGCAGGGCTGGTCTTTACATAGGACTGAACCCTTCACCTGTGAGATCTGTCGCTTTCTCCAGGTAGCTCATGTCAGAATTGTGGTGAATTGTAGAACACCCAGCTGGTATTCAGAGAATTGCTTGGTGGTGGGGGGATGACCTTTTCCCCCCACAAATTGGGATCTGGACAATTTTAGAGGTAGATACAAATATAACAGTTCTTCCCATCAAGGAATATTTTCCCCCTGCAATTTAAGATGGAAACAGGGTAAAAATGAAATAGCAATAAAAGATATAAATGTCAGCTTATTCCTAGTGATAACATAAGACCATATATGAGTCAATGACAAATGACATGCAAGGACACTACTTTTCCAAACAATTCAAGTGCTGAGGGAAAGATTGAACGGGAGGTGGGAAGTGATCTGGATTTTGGAGAATGTGAGGACAGGAATCGAAATAGGGGAGCAATTGATGAAGAGTGTGCTGCCGAAACCCAAATAAATCTCTTGCCCACATATGGCTGTCTTTACATGGTGTGACATTCAAAGAAACATACTCTAACTGCCAAAAAGTAATTATATGTAATTCCCATCTTTACTTGCATCTGTCAAAGAATATTAAAGGACACCAGTCTCCAGATCTGCTCTTGGGATTTGGGTGGCCAACTGGTCTAGTTTTCCCAGGATGGAGGGCTTTTCTGAAATGTGGGACTTCCATTGTTAAAGTCAGGAAGGTCATGGGCAAACAGGGACAGATTAGCCGCCCGACTCGGGTGACTTGGATCCTTTTGATCAAGGGGACAGAAGAGGAGGAGATTCTGAGTGTCAGTGACAAGATCCTAGCTTATACACAGCACAGGAAATGGGCTTGCCTCTGAAACCCATGTAGAATCTTCACCGAATGTTGTAGCCTTGCTGCCCACAGAGGGGTTCCTTGTGGCCAGTAGAGAAGAGAGTTGTGAAGGGCAACTTGGAAACCTATTCAGGAGTGCTTGACATCTTGGCATAAGAGGAGGATGGTGTTGACAATGGCACTGTGTAGCAGAGGGATCAAATATAATGACAGTGACCTCCATTGAACCGAGAATCAGCCTCTTTTCTGTTTTCTTAGACACTGAAGCTCAAGAATTCTTTTATGATCCAATGGAGGGGGGAAGAACCCAGTAATGTTATAGTTTGCTAGTCTCTGTAGCCTTGTCAGGTGGGGGCTCAGAGTTGGCTTTGCTCTGAGAGGCAATATAAGATCATTTAATATCCAGGGTTGAATTCCAACCCTGCTATTTTGTTAACAAGGTAAGCTTGGGCAAGTTACTTAATCTCTCTGAACCTTGGTGTTCTCTATAGAGTGGGACTACCTCATAGGGCTGTGATGTGGATTAAATAAGTTAACATTTGAAAAACACCCAGGACACTGCTTGACACATTGGAAGCCTTATATAAGTGTTTGTTAAATTAAGTTAGAAAAAAAAAGTGCCTTTCTTTGCAAGGATTGGGAAACAAATTTATATCCATGAAATCATGGTAGAGCCATTGAATATGTGATTTGGAGGTCATCGGTGACCTAATGCTTGCAGGAGGAAAACTGTGATGCGTTAAGAAGGAATGAATCGTGAGCAGCAGTGGCTCCTTTTATAGATCACACACCGAACGGCTGGGAGGGACTGGGGAGAGAGGGGACAGTAGACACAAGTTGCTCAGGGGGCATGAAGACTCCTGTAGTATTCTCCTGCTGGGACCAAAGATTTCTCTTCCCCTCCCTCCAGCTCCCTTTTTTGTTTGCCTACCTTCCAAATGAATAAAACCCCAGCTGGGATCCTCCTGGCCTGGAACTAAGCTGGGGTGGAATCCAACCAAGGTCCTGTTTGTATACAGTAATGTAAGTGCTTATAGAACAGGATAGGAAATTGTGTGCACCTCACAGACCAGTCATAAGGATTCTGCTTTCAAGGTCAGAAGCACATTTTCCTTATTGATTTATGATTTTACTGACAGCAGACACAATTAGGGAGCTGGGCCCCCATTACCCAGTGTCCACACAGAGAGAACAGTAAGAAACAGGGCTCTGACCGTGAAGGAGAGACCCTGGGGCACTAGAAGTAGGGGGAGCTATGGAGTACTAAACTGAAGACCTAGAATGTTCTATATACCAACTGCTGCCATGTGTTAAACATGAACAAAAGTAGGTATTATATAATAAAGTAAATTGTATATGTATTATGCAATAATTGTGTGCATATAATTATGTACACATACACATGCTTTATCCTTAGCCCATTTCTTCATATGGCATAACTAAATTATGTTAGGGAGGTTATGTAACTTGTCCAAAGTCACAATGAGTTAGAGCTAAGATTTTTTTTTTTTTTTTAATTGAAAACTTGTGTCCTAGCCACTCCAAACTCCAGTCCAAACTGGGGTCTGCTAATCAGTTCTGGGACGGCCATTAGGAGGCTCATAGGAAAAGTACTAAATCTATAAACTTGTATCCAGTGACTCCAGTTCAAGGGCCTGGGAGAGACTCAAGAGTCACAGGGGCATTCAGATGGGTAACCAGGTTAGAGAAGCCCTACACTGGGTCACCGGGGCTGCCCCCAAATTCTGGCTGGTCTCTCCAACCTCATGAGGACCGTGGAAGGAGGAAAGAGCACAGTTTCCCAAATCTACCACCCTCCCCTTGTCCACCTCAAAGAAAGTAAGAGGAGAGAAAGGGAAGAAGAGAGAAGGCCACGGGGAGGTGGGGGGATCAAGGAGCAGAGAATGGAAGTTCAAGACCCATACTTCCCTGTACACATATTTTTAGCCTTTAAAGGCAGACACAAATTCTCAGGCAGGGGTGGCTGAATTCACGCTGGCGTGAGCTAAGGAGGGGCAGAGGCTTAGCATGAGAAGCAAAAGTGAACTTAGCGTTTCTCCAGGAGCTTGGACATCTGGGTGCTGGTTGCAGTTCCAGCTGTGTGCCCTCGGGCCAACACTTACCCCTGCAGCCCCGGTCACCACCACTGTAGAGTTACAGAGCCACATTAGACTTCTGGTGGGCTCTTCTCCCACTGACATTCTAAGATTTTGTTTTCTTTGGATCCTGAGATTCTCAGTCAGCAAGAAGAGCCATGACTTTCCCCGCTCAGCATCTGGGGGGGATGGAAAAAGAAGAGGAGGCCGGGGAGGGGAAAACAGACAGCTTCTGTCTCCCAGAGTCAGACCCTGCTTGTCTGGGCAGATCAGCGCCCAGGGAGAGGGTGGGGGAGCAGGGCGGGGGTGATGCAGGATCAACCAGATGACGTTTCCCTGGCGACAGAACTCTTCAGAGCTAAAGAAAAGTAATTGAACTTAATGTCCAAACACAAAATCAGTCCATAAATCCAGGTGCTGTCTATTGGAAATTTCAGAAGGGCTCTGCTTCCCTTAATCTTATCTCTGCCAGACAGTTACTGTGTTCTTGATGTAATTAGAGTGATAAAACAATGTGACACAACCGCTGGTTTCTATCATGGCATCGCCACTGTTGACTTAAATGACAAGGTAATAATTTTATAGGAGGCTCTTTATTTTTATTTCTATCTCCATTGCGGATGGGTCCTTTCCAAATGGGGAGCGTGTCTCTCCAGATAACTTCACCAGACATCATACGCAGCGGCTGTTTCTTTCATCACCGTTTAGTTAAGTACCTACATCTCCCCAGGTGCAAATGAGATGTTTTTAGTAGTTAAAAATTGCAGGACTAGCCAGGGATTATCAGAATTATAACATGTTTCTTGCAGGCTGGGTGATTTATATGTCCTTTAAAATTAATGCTGGAGGGGACCAGCCTGCCTTATCTACATGTTTCTCATCTAGTCTAAAAGAAAGACTAGATTTGTCTAGATTCTGTGCCCATGAGAGAGCGGTCCAAGTGGATATGCCAAAAGGAAGACATTCCTGACCTTTTGGGGTCAGACTCAGAATCCAGAAATCAGTACTCCTAGACAGGGAGGAATGGATATTGAAGATCGAGAACAAGTTTTGTTTGAAACCAAGAAACCATTCTGAGTCCAAGGACAAATTCAGACAGTCTTTGGAGATACAAAGAGCCCAAGGCCATGACTGGGTCCAATTTGCACTTCTCTGAGAAGGCACTTTGGTAGAAGCACACATTCCAGCCAGAATAGTCATGGGCCCATGGTGACAGAGCCTCAGAGTTGTCTTTAGCCCTGGAGCCCCAACACTTTCCTGTCAAGAATAAAATTTAATGCATAAAAGCAATGTTTAATTATTTGCAGATATCACTGCACAGTTTCTGTTGGATGGATGCGTTTTCAGGGGAACCTTTTGCAGCTCTTGCACACCCTGCAGGCTGGAGGGCTGGGGTTGGAGTCCTCTGGCTCAGGGACAAGAACAGTCAGCAGTCTTCCTTTATTCAACCTTCTTTTATATCAACTGTGGATAATTTTCCGTCTTACGCCATATGGGTGGCTGCTGCTTCTCCTTTTCTCAAGAGCTGGCAAGGGGGACTCTGTAACATGCCAGGGAGGTATGACAACATGACAAGAAGTGCAGAGACCTGTAGACAATTGGTCATCCAGCTTGAAGGGCTCCAAGAAGCAATTCACCCCCCTAAATCTGGGGGGACATTTGTTGGTTTGTCCTGGTGGCCTCTTTAGACATTTTAATTGGGAAGATGGCTTTTCACGGAGGAAGGAGGTGTGAGCTCTCATGAAACTCATCTCCAGGAACAGGATGTGAGCGTGATCTGACTGCGACATCTGTCACCCCATTGATCGCCAGGGTTGATGCAGCTGATCTGGCCGGCTAGGCAGGTGTCCCCTTCCTCCCTCATCTCTGCATGTGCTTCCCTCCCGATGCCCCAAACTCCATGGAAGAGGATGACCCTTCCTGATAGAGGAGGATCATTCTTCGATCGAGGGTATATAAGGGGCTGCACTTTCCTGCTAGAACCTCCAAATAAGCTCTCAAGGTCCATTTGTAGGAGAACATAGGGGAGCCAAGCTTCCAAGACTCCAGACACGTCCAAATGAGGCACTATGTGTGGTCACCTGTCTTTCTTAAAAAAAGGAAAAAAAAAGAATTAAAAAGAGAAGAGAGAGAGAAACTCATCTTCAGGAATAAAAGTGATCGGGGACCCAACAGAGCCACTTGGTACCATTTGTGCAAGGCAGTCAGGACTTACAGAAGCCTAGGTCTATAACAGGTTTATAAGATTCTGGGACCCTGGACCCTTCCTCTATCATTTCATAACGTGAGTTGTTGATAAAGATTCTTTAAATTGAAAGGATTTATGGCCTTGTCTTAAGCGCTAGGAAGAAGTGAGGATTGGGGATACCATGTACCTCTCTGGGAACCTCAGGGTCTGGCTGAAGAACCCACATGGAGAGATTGCGTTTGGACCCTGGAGCAGGTGGAGGACTGTGGAAGGCTTAGGGCACAAGAGGGGAGGAGGGGAAGGAGTGCAGGGAACTGGCCCATATCCATATCTCAGAAGGAGGTATGGAGCTCAATCAGTCTCCTGGAAGATTTTACCCATTAGCTACAGCCACAAACGATGTCTCCTTTCTTGGCAAACTACCTTATATTAAAAAACAAACAAACAAAACCTTTAATTTCTCAAAATTGACTCAAGAGGACAAAGAAAAACCTGAACCAAGCAATAGTCATTAAGGTCATCAGGGAAAGGACCGTTTTTATCTTATGCAAATTTCTCCAGGGGAAAATAAGGGGGAGAGCGCTCCAATAAACTTCTTATTTTTAGAAAATGAAAAAGTCAGACAGGGATTATATAAGAAAATTATTGCTCAATCATATGCAAGTGCCCAGATGCAATGAGTTCTAAAGACACTGACAAATAAATTGTGAAAAATGAAATAAAACAAAACAAATGTGGAGTATATCCCAAGAGTGCAAAGTTGGCTTAGCATTAGAAATTCTATCAATTTAATCTATTAATCAACTAATCTTTTTACCATTTTATCATAATAATACCTAAATATCATATGATTATCTCTAGAGATGCTGAAGATAAACCATTTTTTACAAGATTTTATTTATTTATTTATTTTAAAGAGAGAGAGAGAAAGAGAGAGAGGGAGAGTGAGTGTATGTGAGTGGGGGAGGAGCAGAGGAGGAGAGGGAGGGGGGAAGAATCTCAAACAGACTCTGTGCTGAGCATGGAGCCTGAAGTCAGACTTGATCCCACAACCCTGAGATCACGACCTGAGCCGAAACCAAGAGTAAGGCACTCAACCAACTGAGACACCCAGGGATCCCTGAAGGAAGCCTTTTGAGAAATTTGAAAATATATTGATTTCTAGAAATATATTATAGCAAACTAAGATAGGAAGCAATCTTCTTTACCATGACAGAGAATACCTACCAAAAATATATCTACTGGTGATACTTAGAAGTGAGCCCATTAACATCAGAGGCAATTCCAAGATGTTCTTTCCTCATTACTATTATTCAGTATGTACTGAAGGGTTTAGCCAGTGCTCAAAGACAAAATAAAGAAATGAGATATAAAGGTTATAAAGAAGGGAAATTTTATTATTTGCAGATATATGAATGAATGTCTACATAAAATACAAGAGAATCTACTGAAAAATTAGAATGGATATAAAAATGATGGATACAAGGTCAACAGGCAATAACTAATAGATTCTATGCTCTACCAATTAGATAATGTGCTTTATAAAAAAAATCATTCACAATACCCCAAAGAACCATAAGGTAAAAGAATAAATAAAAAGACATGCAGAAAAAATATGAAGAAAATTATAAAACTTTATTAAAGGACATAAAAACCCGAGTAAACCCAGAAATATACCACGGTCATGAATGAAAAAGGACAATATCATAAAGATGAGAATTCTTCATATAACCTATGAATTCAGTAAAATTCTAAACAAAATTCACATAAGACTGTACATAGAATTTCATAAATTGACCTTAAAATTTGGAAATAACGTCTAAGAATAGCTAAGCCAATTTTGAAGTATAATGAGGAGGGGGGATTTGTTACGAGGGTTTGCCCTATTGCATATCAATACTTATAAAGCCATAGTAATTTTTTAAGTGTATAAATTGAGCAAAGGGACCAACATTATACACAAATCCAATAGGATTTTCTACAATGATAGAAATATTCAAACTCTAACCTGTCCAGTATGGTAGCCATAGGCCCCATATGGCTGTTGAGCACTTGAAATGTGACTTGGGAGACCAAGAACTAAAATTACTAATATTGTTAAATTTTAATCCATTTAAATTTTTAAATAACCACATGTGGTTCACAGCTACCATATTTGGCAGCATATCTCTATAATAAATGTACTACAAGTTGACAAAAACAAATATGGTAGCAGGTATCAGACTGAAGTGCCATTATGAACCATTGGGGGGAAAAGAAATCGGTGGTATATAGGAAAAATATATATGTATATGAATTTAAATTCCCACCTTATCCCATCTGCACAAATAAATTCCAGATGAATTAAAGACCCAAGTCTAAAAATCAGAACTTTAATAAAAATGTTAGAGATAATATAAGGAGAAGACCTTCCAGGTCTTGGCTTATGAAAAAAATTTCTTCAGCAGAGACAAAAAGGATAATTCTTAAAAGAATTTATCAATAAATTGAACAATATTAAAATTAAAAACTTCTGCACAACAAAAGAACACATAAAATATAGTGAAAATGCAAGCAACAGAAGAATATGTTTGCCACATCTAACTGACAAAAGATAATCATTCAGAATATGCAAATGAATATATATCAATATGAAATAGCAAACAACTCAGTGAAAATATGGACAAAATATATGAAGAATTTTTTCCATAAAAGGGAACTCTAAAGACCAATACAGAAATGAAAAAGATGTTCAAACTCCATAGTAATAAGGAAATGCAAACTAAACCAACAACAACGTGACTTTTGCATCCATCAGAGAGCATCAGTGTAATGGGTATTTGTCAATTTTGTCCATCTAGCATCTAAACCTTCTTGCTGTGTTTGGGAGTTCTCCCCACTTTTTGGGGTAAAGCCAGCCTTCCTCTGAG